AATTCCTTTAGTTTATGCATTTTGGAAGATTTTTATTTGTTTTTAATTCTAAAAGAAGGCTTTGCTGGTTGTAGTAATCTAGGTTGGCAGTGCCACCCCCCAGCCCAGCTTGAAATAACATTATTTTATGCTGTCCTAGCCTTTAGAGTTTCTACTAATAAATCTGTTGTTCAGATGTTTTTCTCTATAAGTGATTTGGTACTTTTTTCCTGCAGTTTTTAAAATTCGTTCTGAATTTTTGGCATTTCAACTGTAATATATCATGGAGTTCTTTTCTGGTCCTAGTTGGAGTTCTAAATGTTTCCAGTACCTGTATGTCCATCTCCTTTCTAAGATAAGAAAAATTTCTGCCATTACTTTATTGAATATGTAAAATATTGCCATTAGTTTGTATTTCCCCTTCTTCTTCAAGGCCTGATTCTTAAGTTTTGTTTTTTAATGTTGTACTGCTTTGTTAGCAGTATAACTACAAGTTACACAACTTTTTAATGTTGTACTTTCTGTTTATAGTCTCTTCTTTATCTCCCCACCCCACCTTTATTACTAAGTATTCTACTTCCTGCACTTTATCTTCCAGCCTTGACATTCTTTCTTCTGAGAGATACCCAGTAAGTTTTTTATTTGGCTAACTGGGTTTTGCATTTCCAAGATTATTTTTTTTTGTACTTAACCACTGAGCCACACCCCCAGACTTTTTTATATTTTAATTTTAATTAGAGACAGGGTCTTGCTAAGTTGCTTAGGGCCTTACTAAGTTGTTAAGGCTGGCTTTCAACTCAGTCCTCTGGCCTCAGCCTCCCAAGCTGCTGGGGTTACAGGCTCCAAGATTTCTCTGTCTCACTATTGAAATGCTCTTTCATATCCTGCATTTTCTTCTTTAGGTCTTTTAATTTGTTGATTATTTTAACAAACAATTTTTAAATTCTTTACCTAGCATTTCCTCCACTTCAGTGTCTTTGGGTTTATTTGTTGGGAAGATGTGAACTTTTATAGAGGCATCTTATGGCCTTGTCATCTGCATTTCTATGTTGAAAGTTGTTCTTTTATTGGGACAGGTATCTCTAGCACCTACTGAAACAGTTACAACAGGTTTGTTAGTGAGCTACTTTCTCTTTATACGTGCCCCAGCATAGGGGCTTATCTTGGCTTCAGAGCACTCACTCACCATGTTCAAAGTGCTACATTCAATCCCCAACTCCACTGTCCACCAGCTACTGTACCTCCGGAGGCCACTGCCACCAGCAGACCCTGGAGGCTGAGTGTCATCCTGCTGCTGCTACCAGTCCTGGCAACCTTACTATCGTATGTATACAAACCACATAAATTCTTAACTGAAGGCCAGGTAAATTAAATTAGAAACCAAAAGAGGACATGAATGGTTGAGGTTTCAAAGTGACTTGAATTGGCCAGTTGTGGTTTTTAGCATTTCCCAAGATATCACTTGAGAATGAGGAAAGCTGTCTACTCAAGGACTAAGGAATGCCCATACTACGGTTTTGCATGTATCATGAAAATCAGGGAGTCTCAGGAGCACACGGAGTTTGTCTTCAGATCAAGGTAAAGAACCCCTTTCTACCATATTAATTTCCCAAAGTTGCCTAATCATGGATCACCTGGAGCACCTCATGAACTGCAATTCCTGTCTCACCCAAACCTAATGAAACAGAACCTAGGGAAATGATGCTATCCCTTTAAACAAATGCTTTAGAGCAGTGCTATCCTCTGATATATGTATGACTTCCATTTGACACTCAGGATGATTTTACATTGTTTAGATTCCACAAAATACAAAGTAATAATAACAATAGGGCTATGATGTAGTGCTTGCCTAGCATGTGTGAGGCCCTGGGCTCAAGACCCAGCACTCCCCCCTTAAAAAGAAGAAAAGTTCCTGATTGTAATTTAATAGCATATTGAGCCCAATATATAAAATATCTCAGGCTGGGGTCATAGGCTTAGTGGTAGAATGCTTGCCCTTGGAACAATCCCCAGTATCATAAAAAAAAAAATTTCAATATGTAACCAATATTTTAAAAAGTATTAGTGAGGAATTTCATTGAGGCTTCAAATTCCAGTGTGCATTTTACACTTTCGGCATATATTTATTCAGTTCAACCCCCATCCCCCTAATCAGGTCTCAGAAAGCCACTTGAGCCTAGAGGCTGTATTATTGCATACTGTTAGATCTGCAAATCTAGGAAGTTGCTACTTCACAGTTTAGATCTAGGTGAGTGATGAAGTCATGCCTCTTATTACTGCAGGGTCTACTTCAGCCAAATGAATGAAAACAGGTAAAGCAACCCTGATCGTAGGTTTGGGATTTGGCCTAGTTTTTTTACATCTTTAAAACAGTGACATAATTCTTGCTGGGGTTTGTACTCCCCTCTGCCATCCTGTTCTGAGCACAGCTGGGGTTGGGCAGGATCAGAGAGCCTCTCCTGCCTTTCTGGGATTCTGTTAGCTTTTAGAGCTTTCTAGGTCTGGAAAGTTCCTTGTGTTCCAGTCCATGGTGGACCTGAATGCTGGGGTGAAAAAAGTCGTTTGTTTGTGGTAGGGCTAGAATTTGCATGCCCTTAAGTCTTCAGGGGCATTGGAAGAAATGGGAAGGGTAGAGGATGGGCTTTCTCTGGGTAAAATTTTGTTGTTCTCAATTTGAATTCATGGTCACATTTTTAGTTCTCTTCATAATTTGATTTTTTCCTTTGTACAGTTAATCAACTTTAGAATGGAAGATAAAGGAATCAGAACAGAGACAAAATATAGAATAACTCTACCCTATCTTTTTTAGTCAGAGGAAGGACAGGGGTAGGGTGGGGGCCTGGCACTCTCTATCCTTGCCTTAGCTGGTGGACTGCTTGGAAAGCTATGAGGAAACCTTGGGGAGGGAAGGAGAAAGGGAACCTCCTGGCAATACTTTCTCACTCTGGTAGGAAATGCTGCCACCCTCTGATTCCAGTGGGAAATGCAACCAGATTTGGCGATCTGGTGGCTGCTGGGGCCCAGGAAAAAAAAAAAAAACATTCCTCAAGAGGACAGCTGCAGAGCAGCAAGGCTCCTGCCAGCCCTTAGGCCTTCCCGAATAGCTAAGGAAGGTGACAGGACTCATTGAAGAATAAGCCATGCACTGTGGACTGGCTACCAAGCTTCCTTTACAGATCTCAACCCCCTCCTACCTCTCACAAAAGCAGGCCTGGGTATCTGTGTTGCACTTCTCTCCTTCACTCATCTGTTTGAGGATTTTCCCCTTATAGTAGCTCCAGAAATGTTGAAAGATTATATACACTGGAGAAACCAGGGAGAAGCAGGGTCTAGACTATCTGGGCACCTCAGAGTCTTTCATTGTGCAGTTGTCTCCCCATCCCACTCCTATAAGAAGCACAGCTGTGATTAACTCACATACTGTAGGGAAAGCATACAAATTTCAAGCACTGCAGTGCAAAAGTAAGTATAAATGAAAGCCTTCTGCATTTCATTCTTGTGAGTTAACCATTATTAAGTTCCATACAATATAGTTTGTTACAATGTAGCAAATATTTATTCAGATTTCTAATTGTTTTTACAAAATATTCTATAGAATTTATTCTTTTCACTTAATATAGTCAATCTCCATTTTAAAGTATCAGGGATTGAACTTGGGAACACTCAATCACTGAGCCATATCCCCAGCCCTATTTTGTATTTTATTTAGACAGGGTCTTACTGAGTTGCTTAGTGCCATGTTTTTTTTGCTGAGGCTGGCTTTGAACTCGTGATCCTCCTGCCTCAGCCTCCCAAGATGCTGGGATTTACAGGCATGCACCACCACACTCAGTTAACATATATTTTTTTTTTAAGCAGCCCATTTTAGTAGCATATATGTACCTTGATTAACTTAACTAATCCCTTAAGTGTTTCACTTTGTTAATTATTGTAACCAAAGCTTAAGTGAATCTAGCTTTAATTTATGTGCCTACAATCATATTTACTCTGTGAGATAATCATAGAAATCACATTGCTTAGTCAAGGACGTGTTTGCTAGGGACTACCAAATTGGCATACAAATGAACAAAGCTGAATGAAAAGCACCTCACAAAATGGTGCTTTTTAGAGGAATTCCTTCCCTAAATCCTGGCTTCCCAAATAATTTTATGAGTTCTGAATCAGTCTGGACCATCACTAGAAGCTGCCGTGGAGGCATGGTGCTTGGTGCCGAAGCGAACCTAGTAGATTGTGGTGAGTTTTGTTATGACCCAGAGCAGCCCTATGCACTCAATGTCAGGGAAGGTGGTAATTGTTTTCCTGCCTGGGTCTTGTTCACTGGTGGGAATTAGAGGAAGGCAGTAAACTAACTGGACTCTAAAAACCATCTTTCACTGACTCCTCTAGCATGGTTTACTACAGTAGTGCAGAACCCATGGAACTTTTAAGCCACTTCAGCATAGAAACGAGGGAGTCAAATGAAGTCCAGTAGAACTTCAGTTAATGGAAAATAAAGGCATCTTTAAAATGAGAACAGTATAATTTCTATTCCTTTTCCACTAGTGCCATTTGTTTTGTTTTTTTGGTTTTGAGGTAGGTAGGATGTGTTGGTTCGAGTAGGGAGATTGTCTAAGGTAGGCAGTCCAGGTGAGACAGAGGTTTCTGTCTTGAATCCCCGAGTGGTTCTGCAGCTACTTAGAACAGTTGGAAAAAATGGGTGTGGAGATCAAGATGGATTTGTGGTCAAACTGCACTCATGGCCAAGAACCTGATATGCCAGTAGTAGAAATTCCTGTCTTGTTCCTTTGAAACATACTTAAGATCTCTATGGGCACCTACTAAACAGGCTCTAACTCCCTTTGAAAATGCAGTGATGAGGCATTCATGCTGGCTCTGCTGAGCCCTCTTCACTCTCCATGCCCTGGCCTTGTGACTTGGCAAGCAACATGTCTCTGCCTTTCCCATCACACCTCGGAGGGAGCAGCACCTCCACTGTCATCTCAAGCTATTCATGGTATGTGCTCTCTCTCTCCTGGATACAGAGAAAAGAAGTTGAAGGCCAGAGTTCAAGAGCTGGTGAGTGCCTTGGAAAGACTCACAAAGAGCAGCGAAATTCGACATCAGCAGTCAGCAGAGTTTGTTAATGACTTAAAGCGGGCCAACAGGTAAAAACACCCCTGTACATCCTTGTGGCACTTAGACCAAGCCCACCTCAAGGTCATGTCTCACCAGGGATGGCTACTCTGGAACTCCTGGGAAGCAACTGTAGACAGTGGGGAGTCATCACCCACTCTTCCTGAAAGCAGCATCTTGCAGGGCTTTGTACAGAAACCTAAATGCTCAATGAACATAGGTCCTTTGACTGTGTAGAAAATAGAATATACTGGTTTTCCTCTAATGCTAGGGATTAAACCAATAGGTGCTGTAGCACTGAGCTACAACATCCCTATCCCTTACTTCTAGAGATAGGGTCCCACTAAATTGCCCAGACTGGTCTCAAACTTGCAATCTTCCTACCTTAGGATTACAGGCATGCACTACTGTGCCCAGCTGTAGTCTCTTCTGGATATTTCATAGAGTAAAGGTTCTGAGAAGTCATATAATTTTTAAAAATCTGTTTAAGTCAATGTTTTCCAACAGAATTGACTATGGAACCATATATTTGAGCAATATTTAATATCCAGTGGGATATTCTTAGGACACTATTAGATAGTAGTCTCAAAAACTTTGGGCTTAGGACCCCTTTATATTTGTAAAAAATTGAGGACCCTGCCAAATGTGCCAGTAATTCTAGCTACTCTGTAGGCTTAGGCAAGACCATAAGTTTGAAACCAGACTCTGTCTCAAAATGAAGATAAAAAGGGCTGGGTTGTAGCTTAATGGAGAGCAGCCTTGGGTTCAATCTCCGTATTGTGCCCCCTCACGCCCCCCCCCCAGAAATAGAGGACCTCAGTGAGCTTGTGTCCCTGTAAACTATCTTTATTGATACTTCTATCAAACTAAAACGAAGACAAGTGTTGGAAAGTTTTTACTCATTTACAAAAAAAATTAATTAGATGTAACACGAATGGTATTTTTATTATGAGTGACACTTTTTAGTTTTCCAAAACTATGTCCAATTTAATCTCTATGTAGCCAAAATATTTTGAAGTATATTGAGAACATCTGACTTCATACAGATGTATAGTAAAAGGTTGACTTCACAGACCCCCTGAAGAGCAGCTTAAGGGGTAATACAGATGTACATGGAAGGGGTTTAGGTGCAGTTTGGGACCAGAGAGCATAGCAAGCATATCTAGACTTACTGGGTTTCAATCCCTGACCCAGTCCATGGGACTCTTGTGCACAAACAGTTCACCAAGTCGTACTTACTGGGCTGGACACAGTTTTCTTATGGCCTAACTGGATGCTCTGAATCCAACTACACAAAGCTTGACATCTCTCCCTGATCCTAAGTGAGGTCACTTCCATTGCATCACCTCTGGATGATGATGGACCATCTAGGACAACAAGTAGACCCACTATTTGTATTTAAGTAACAGATTTCAGCTACCTTTTCTGCATTATTGGCTGACTCTTATCCACAACCCCTCCTAATGTTAGCAGTGTGACTGAATTAGTCATGGTTAGGCCAGTAGATGATGACCCCTAGTGTGGAAATCCCTGGCACTGTGCTTCTCAAAATTACCTGGTTCCAGAGTCTTACTGAAGATCAGGCTGCATGCATGATCTTTCTCAAGATCAGAGCTCACTAGACCTGGCTAGCCATCAGACAGGACAGTGTGTCTCATGCTACTTAGTACACGTTCTTGTTTCCCTCTGTTCCTACTTAGCAACCTGGTAGCTGCCTATGAGAAAGCAAAGAAGAAGCACCAAAACAAACTGAAGAAGTTGGAGTCTCAGATGATGGCCATGGTGGAGAGGCATGAGACCCAAGTGAGGATGCTCAAGCAAAGAATAGCTCTGCTAGAGGAGGAGAACTCCAGGCCACACACCAATGAAACTTCACTTTAATGAGCACTCAGGCACCAAAGTTCTGGCCCCTGGGGGCAAAACTCTAGCAGGCTACTGAACCTGCTGGGAGGAGCAAAGGGAAGGTTGGCAGTTAGATCAGCCCTTGGACAATGGAGTGCCTCGTACTCAGTCCCTGGGGTGAGTGGCCTTGCTGACATGAAGACTGTATCCACAGGATCCTGCTCTTCCTCTTGGGGTCACGGACAGTATATAAACACAGGCTCTGTGCACTGTGCCCAGCAGGGTCTTACTTCTACTTTCAGCACTCACTTTCTCACTCCCGCACCTTTTCTGTCCATCAGTAAGATCCCAAGCAGTTGTTTTTATAAGGTTTTCCTATCATTTTTTTTTTTTTGTAGACAGTGGACTTGCTTATATTCTGGCACCCCAGATTTCTCCTTTCCTCCTTCAGGGGAAATCTTGATGTAGTCTGTATGTCTCCAACATCTAAAAGGATTGCTGATTAGCTTACCACAACAAAGCTTTGGTGTTCAGGTCCCATGTTAAAGGTCTCACAGAGGTGTCTCTGGGAGTTAACAGGCCACATAGGTGTCACAGTCTCAGATACACTGGAGAACAAAACCAAGGCTGTGCCTGAACATTCTGTATTAGAAGAATTAAAAAACATTTTACCTTTTAGTTACAGAGGCAGGACTGGAAAATATTCTGGGGTTTTTCCTCCCAGTGGGCCCTTAATAGCTAAGGCGTAAGGGTTGGGAATCACGGACACATGTAGTAGAACTAAAATTTTTATCAGGTTTCTTCAAGAGTAGAGAAGTGGTATTAGAACTTCTTCCCCCAGCTGCAGGGTACTACATAATTGCTGTTCTCCTGAATCAAAACTCACCCACACGAACACATTTGTAGCTCTAGACCAAGGCTGTGCATTGTCAGGCACCAAGAAGATACTGAATGTTTTGCAAAACTATCTAAGAGAGTGCCAGTGAACTCCCAATTCAACAAGTCCTGATGTCATGACAGAGATGAGGTGAGGACTGGTTGGTAGGTTCCACCTCCCCCACAACCCAAAATACATGACAATGACTAGCACATTAAGTCCTCCAACTTAAATTCATCATCCCTTTTCAACTGTAGCCTTCACTATTTTACCCCTTCTGTTTTTCAGTTCCACACCAATAATTAAAGGATGATTGCCTTTTTTTCCCTCCTCTGCAGCCCTGGAGACTATACCAAGACCTCTGTGATAAATGGGCTCCAATGCCAGTTAACTACAAATTAAAGTTTTTGTGCTTTATGATCAAGCTACCACAGTAGAATCCTCCGTATCCATGAGCTTCGGGTGGGTGTATTTTTGGGGAACATGATTCAAGTTCTTAGGCTTTCTCTGCAATGGGAAAGTCACTACTTAGGAGGACAGTCATTTCTACCCTAAAAGTAACAACTATGCTCATTGAGGGGAAATCCCCCATCAACTGGTATGAGTCTGGATCAGCTTTTGGGTGATCACTGTTTCTATCTATCCCTGATTCAGTCAAGGTTTGCTCCTCTGATTAAAAAAATATATATTTTCATTCTTTGGACAAAGTTACATTTTGTCATGAGGAAAATGTTCTGGCTGAAAAGTGTATGCAAAAAAACCCATACACTTTATACATGAAATAAGTTTATCATTTTTCCAACTTGCTAGGCAATGTCCTACACTGAGTGAACTGAGATGTGCATGGCTTTCTTTCAACACTGAAAAATACATACAGACCAGCAATAACATCCTGCCCACTGACCTCTGCCTCCATTCCCCCTCCAGCTAAAATCAGAGAACTTACCCCTTTAGGCCCTGTAATTCCTCCACACAGGAGAGGCCTAAAGGGGTAAGCACTTCTGTTATGGTCTCCATTAGTATCCCACTTAGCCTAAGTTTATGCTTCAACAATACTTTTAAATATGGGATGACTGGGTGAACTTCCCGGGCAAAACTATCAACTTTTACAGACATGCAGAATAAAGAGATAATAAATTGATATCCTTTCAGTATATTTTTCAAATACTCCCCTACGACAATCTTTGTTGAAGGTAAAGTATCAGGCATTTGGTTATGCTGATTTTGAGAGCTACTGGACACCACTGATTAAATGAGAACAGGCATCTGGGTAATTTTCCTTTTTGTATTATCTGGCTATACCTGAATTTTTCTCTAAATAGGAGGTGGTTTACATTAACATCTCCATTTAGGGTAAACAATGACATTGATTTTGAGGTTAACCTTCAGAATTTCATATTTTGTTTTCTCCAGTGGCACTCAACCTCTATTCAAAGTTCAGTCTGGCTTGGCAAAATGGGAATAGAGCAAAAGGAACCATTTGACGGTTTCCTTGGCATATATTTGCCATTGTTAAATGAGGCAAATAAAATCACTAGGGCAGAATTCAGAAGTGAGACCTCAGTCCACAACTTATCATATGTGAGCCTACCAGCTGGATCTGATATTCTACCCAAGCCTGGGTATATTAGCTGCCAATACTGTCTTGTACTTGTAGGCAGTAAGAAAGATTCCTTTTTGAGACATTTATGGTTAAAAACACAGTGTGATGAGACAGTTGAGATGAACCTATCATGCTGTCCCTGTCTCTCATGAGTTAGGCCCATATATGCACTAGATGTTTCATCATTGCCAATGGAAGTAATTAGTGTTTCATATTCACTTGTACCGGCTAGCATGTCAAGTTTCTGGAGTTATTTCCATGCTGCCTGAAAGTGGAATGTTAGGCTAATAAAAATTAAGTGCCAGTTAAACATAAGTGCTTAATTCTCCTTTCAGATACACGTACCTATACTAAGTCTTCCTCTGGGCCTGCAGCAATATTTTACAGGGATCTCGGAGAACTCTAAATTAGAGCCTTGACATAAGTTGCAGCCTAAAGGCTTTTTCCTTAAAGCTGTTAAGAGTGGTAAGACAATCCTCATCCTAAGGAAAACTTGAAACTATCTGAAAGTCTTCTACTTCCTAGCTGCCTATGGGTATTACTAAAAAAAAAAAAAATGCCCTATAGTCACCTGGACAAGGCTGGAATGCGGTGTCACTGGCATGAATTAACTTCCACAGCTGCATGTTTAATTCTAAAGATGCTTTCGATGACCCACAAAAATTTATGCTGTGCTTATTTTCCAATTCTGTCATCACCTTAACTCAAAACTCTCAAGAGCTTGGGTAAGATGTTCTTATTTTAAGTGATGAGAACAGCATACAAGAACCCCCCCCAAACTTTTGTTAATGACATCTGAAAGTGTCCTCTCTCCCATATAAAGCTTTAAATTATTTGCAAATCCTAATTAGGAATATGTCCTGTTCATTCTACAAATAATTTTAAGTGAAAAAACTATGCTAAGTTTACAGCTTCACCTACTTATAAATGCAGCCAGCATTACAAAGATTTTAGAACCCAAACAGAATTTTCTGATGGTTCAAATTTTTGTATTGATCTTAATTAGGAATGCAGCCATAGGGTTGCCATAGGGAACGGTAACAACATATTTTTTGGGTTTTCTTTCTTTCTGCAGTACATGACAGCTTTATACAACACTAGAAAAACTGGGGCAAAATCAGCCATTTTCCTGTTTATCCCATTTCACATATAATAATATAATCACCATCTTTGGCTTATCAACTCTCTAGACAGTTTGTAGCAAAGATATTACTTGTTACAAAACAAAAATACATTTGCTACACAAATTCTTTAAGTTTTTCCATCATTGAAATTAGCACTGAACCTGAGCCCTTCTAAAATACCTCACTTAACACACTTGAAGTTAACTCTAAGAAACATGCCTTGGCTGCCAAGAACTAAGAATTGGAACTAGAATTATCAATTAATGTATTGCTGGCTGCTATCACCACAGCACCAGTGAGCACTAAGTTGCTGTTTAAAAATATAAACAAGTGGAAAAGGTACAAAAATTGAATAGAAGATGTTTGTGTATTCTTATTCTTCTAATGCCTGTGTAGAGGAAATGTGTTTGACATGCAGACAACCATTACGTTTTTGGATAAGTTATAGTAGATTACAAGTCTCTCACCACATTACATCTGAGTGGGATTTTGCATGTACACAAGACAAACACCATTTGGTCCCAGAAATATCAACTGCTGTTGGATTAGTAGTACATCTTTGATTGAGTATTTCATCTTTCCATCTTTTCATCTGCTAATCATCTGAAATAGGAGTTCAGCAGAACAGACCAATTTTATGTAGAATTACATCACATTCACATGGATTCCCTGCTTAAATAGTTCTTGCTCTGTCATTTGCTTTTGCACTTTTTCCTAATCAAATTCACGTGGGAAAATATTCTGTTTGTAGAACTCCTAGTATTCACTTACAGCGCTCGTGTCAGCACTCCAAGTAAATTGAGAACTCTTAATAATGTGCTTTTGTTTGAACCTAATGCAAAGATTATGAAACATGTTCACTTCTTTCCTATTTCTAATCAGTTTGTAGACATCTTGTCAAGACTATTACTTACTTTGCATGAGATTTTAAGTTTCTTATTATTTGAAAATGTGCTTTTATACCACTTGAATTATTAGAAAAACCTGCTTGAATGTACTGCCAGTTATTAAAGCACATGTGACTAAGTTTGCATTTGTCAGTATTGTTCTGCTGTTTGTACTGAAAGTCTCATTTTAAAGTTGCTACTTAACACTGTACTATACCTTGTAATTTTTAGATTCTTCACTTGTATGCTTTAAATGTTTCCAGATGCCTTTAGTTTTAGCTGCTGTAAAATAGCTACTTTGTGTTATTTGATATAGAATTGTTTAAAAAAAAACTCCATTTATTTATACAGAGACATTTATAATATTTTACAAACATTCTTATATTCTGAATAAATATTTCTAATTCCACACTGTACTTTGTTTTAATTAAAGGATAAGACTGTCCTTCTGTTAACTATTAAACATGTGAATATTTAATATAAGATTTGATAAAGTGACTTAGTCAAAGTAAGGGGCTAGGATTAAGGCTAGATCAAACCACCAACAGCCAAAGAAACATTGTTTATCACCAAATTTTATTATTTAGCTACTTCGTTGACTTTCCATTTATGCCAAAATCATCTACTGAAGGATCTCTTTTCCCTTTTAAAGATTACTGGTACAGGGATGATAACACAGAACTAAAAGTACAAGGAAGTCATACAAGACTATGCCTACAAGATAGGAAGCAGCTTTATAGCATGTATCAATTTTTCACTACAGGAGCAAAGTACCTTTGATAATAACAGCATTATACACTAGTCTACATCATATAACTGAGGTCTTTAACAGAGAATATATTTCTTTCTCCCCTGGGATCCAAGGACAATCATTTTATCGCAAAGCCTGGTTCTAGCACATATTTAAAGAACTGATGAATTGTACATTAGCAGGTTCACATCTCCAGCCTGCCACTATAATCTTGCTTTAAAGTAAAAAAACTGTGGTTTAAAATGAGAAATAAACACAAGTTTTCCATTTTCATTTTTGCAGAGACATTGAACATTTAATATTTCTTCCCATTATGTAAACATAACCTTATTTTATATATATCCTATATTCATCGATTTTCATTGGTCCAAAATGAAAACTCGGATTCTACAGTAACAATTAACAGCAGAAACAAGGAAGTAACTAAAACTGCTCAAAGAGCCAATTTTATTGGTATTGTTTTACAAATAGCCTAATGTTTTACAGAAAGCCAGTATATGAGTAACCTTCATTATTGGTTTTTATAGTAAGGTTTTCAATTTCTAATTTACATCAAAATACTTTCAAAAATTAGAGCATAATAACTATTAAGTCATCAATTCATTTTCTCAATGGAAGGTACAGAAAACAAACACATCTTTGGAAGTACAATGCTCCTGCAAACAAACTCCAACTCACAAACATGAGTCTCAGAAATCTTTTATTTATGACAGTTATACTCAATATAAGTGAAATTCAGTCCTTTTCCTTTCATTAACACTGAAGGAAAAAACAAAGCTATTGTTGAACCTCAGAGTAAAATAAATCCAGAAACAACAAATCTGCTCTAAATGTTTCAAATTCTTTAAACTCCAAGATAAACCCCACTGGTACTTTGGGTTCCTTTTTAGTTCTCCCTAAATGTTTTGACAATTAATCAAAAAGCAGTAAGAACTTTATCACTACTATAGACAGAATCACTTAAAGGGTATATACTTACAGTCATTCTCCAAGCATTAAAATGTCCTATAAGGTAAAGTAATACAACAGTGAGTGCTATAATTTAGGCAAAAATTAAATGTTAAATCATTTTGCATGACAATAATGATTACTGAAGAAAAAGTTTACAAATCTATTTAGTTAGCACATTTACCCTAAAGTCCAGTTCTCACTGAATACCATGTTTTTAATGAAACCAATTCAAATTTTTGTCTACCAGCTTTTTAAAAAGTATTTATTTTTTAGTTATAGTGGACACAATGTCTTTATTTTACTTTATGTGGTGCTGAGGATAGAACACAGTGCCTCACGCATGCTAGGCAAGCGCTCTCCCGCTGAGCCCCAGCCCTATCTACCAGCTTTTGTAGGTTCCAAATATTTTGCTTAACATGACACAGCATAAATACCTTTCCCTTTTTCAGACTAAAACTTAGTCTCAAGGAAAATGTGTTAAGACTATATATCTTCCTTGAACATTACCTAGTCTTCACAGCATAATGTAAAAAGCCACTTCAAATCTTGTTTTAGAAACAGGCACAGTATGTATGTATTTTTTAAAAAAAGCAATTCTCATTCCCTTTCTCACCCAAATGAAACCATACACCTTATTTGGTTAGATGAAAGACAGTGTTACATTTCAGTTAAGCTAGCTAATACATGAACATTATTCCATCTGATTAATCGTTCTGAAATGATTGTTTTAAAGTTTCATTAAAGCCAAGAGATAAAATTAAATCTGAATCATACACAGAACAAGGATGAGTCAATGCCTATCAGAGATGATTTTTTAAAAGATTTTAAGCTAATAAACTTCAAAAATAATTTTAAGAGAGAATATATATAAACCAAAATGGTTTGTGATTTTATTGTCCTTTCCTAATTGTTACTAAAGAGAAAGTTGGTACTATTTAAAGTGTAAGTCAGGTTAGCCGTCTCCTGTTCTAAATTCAAACAAAAAGTAAAATTAAAGGCTCATTTCTTTGGACACTTGCATTTGACATTAACAGTTACTTGTGCAACATCCAAACATAAACCTAAAATGGACCACAGAGACAGCAGTGCCAAGGACAGTAGTGAAATGCACAAAGAAATTCTTGCAGATATGTCTTGTGCTTTTCTATCAGTGCATGAAGAGTGCAAGTCCACAGCTACTCATATATATGTTCCAAAAGTATTAACATATCTAATCAACCAAACTACTAAGGAAAAGATATTACATTGCTAAATTCACAGTAGAGAACCTTAATTTGCTTTCATTTTCTGCCACCCATAGTTTATTCCTAAATATCATAAAAGCATATGCTAATTCCTTAAAGCTTGAGAAATAACGAAGAATGTAGAATTGTGCCCCAAGTCTTCACTAGTTTGTAGCTGTTAGATTGTTTTAGAACCTTAGATTCAATTCATTCAAAGTAGATTAAATTAAAATGTTACACTTTACCTCAAAAAGTCTACTATCCTAAGAATGTTACCTAGGACCTCTTGAAGATCGAGAATCAGCAAATACTGCTCATTTCACCTTGGAACCACAGTTTTCTTCTCTCAAATCAATATGTCAACTACATGCATCAAAACTCAAAAGAGCACAAGTGTTCAGACTTCTATCTGCTTGTGGCCCAAATGTCAAAGCGAAGTCATCATCAGAAGGCAAAATGTAATCACTACTTGCAAGTTCTCACAGTGGCCAAAAGGGATATATAGCACAAAGAAAAAGATGAAGGGAAAAGTCACCAGGAAAAAATGGGGAAGGGGTGTGTGTTTGTGTGTGTGGACCTCAATGACTTCCTGGCCAGCCACACCAAGTATTAGAAACTTTTTTTTTTTTTTAATGACACTCAGCAGACCAGTCAATAAGGAAAAACACACAACTACCTGCAGCAAACATATATTCAGGGCCTTACTGTTTTCCTGGCCTAAAGGACTAAAGTATGAGGAGGAGATAAAATCACACACACTTGCATTTCTGCATTCAATCTCTTTCCCCAGAGTTCCCTTGACCAACACTACTCAGATAATGCAGACACCTTATGAAGGTTAATTTCTTTTAGATTGTGCTTTCAAGCTACTAATATATACAGATCATCCCCTCTGCTAATTACAGAAGACCCAAGGTAAATGTAATCTCTTGACTGGTGATTTCATTAATCTGGGACCCGGATGAGAAATTCCATTATGAATACTTTTCAAGACAAAACGTTTACATTTTATCACAGTTGTTTTTTGTACACTTCTTTGTACTTCATGCTAAAGTCTGAATAATTCTGCTGGTAGAAGTCAATACTTTACTCTCATTTAAGAGAATTAACTTCATTATTTTCACTACTTATGGACTATTTCAATAATAAATGCTATTTGCCACAAGGAAACTAGTTGATAAGAAATGAATAAGCATTCAGGACAAATGTATAGCTGCCCCATACAGGTGACTATAGCTGTATGCACTCTGGGTTACCTCCCTTTCCTATAAGAAAGTAGTGTACTTCAGAGTGGCTGGAGTTCTGCAATGATACAGCACAGAAAGGACCAGACTCCCAAACACTGGTCTTTAAAGTGAGAGAAATTCCTTTAGATTCACTGGATTGCTTGGCAATCATACTAAGGAAAAAATAAGTTTATTCAGGGTTAGAAAATGCTTGGCAATGGCCATATATATATGTGTGTGTGTGTGTGTGTATATATATTAGACTATGCTTAGGCTTGATGCATCATATAGCACTCAAGGATTGATATATCTTCTACAATGTCCTCCTTATACTCTGCCCAGCAACTATACTTCTCTTTTCTTTTCAGGGCACTTTTGTTCTATAATACTAATCTATTATCAATTTTAGAATGTGCAATCCAGAATTCTACTTTGAAAGCACAGGACAAAGCTTGTACTGCCCATTTGCAATCTGCCACCTTCTGACAGGCAGATAGATTTCAAGAGTAATTTAATTCTAAGAAGAAAAAAGATGCTGAGAAGGCCCATCTTAAGCTCATTTTTAGGATTTTTGGCAACTATACAAATGCACTTTATAAAGTTTTAGGACGGAAGAAATGGGCAACTAAGGTTAACAAAACTGTTGTTTCATTAAGACAGGTACATAAAGGTTAAAAATACCTTCAAACAAAACAATGGTTATCTTGTTTATCATCAATTTAAAGTTACAATACACATGAACCCCTTCCCCCAGGCTAGAAAAAAGTCAAGATCATGAGGAAGTGTTAATGAATAGCTATGATTCATATACAAAGAAAATACTGCCTCAGAGAATACAGAGACACAATAAATGTTAATCAAAACAATCTCTGAGCAGAAAGGTCCACCAGTACAAATATAAAAAGTAAATAGAAGTAACATAGTAAGAACAACTTGGCAAAAAGTCTAATTTTTTATAATTGATTTTGCTCTACTTACTAAGTTAACTAAATGTTGGGGGTTAAAAAAACCTAAGAAAGACTATATAAGTGAGGGAATAGAAAATGAAATGATTTTAGTGCACACATGCACACAGATCTTAACTTTTCTAGAGAACACAATATGTTGAGTAGTAGAAAGGAATTTAATTCCTATAGTGGATGAATGTCATTCACTTAGTATGGAGTTTTCGACATTACAAACAAATTATTAAAGCCTTCAAAAAGAAAGAGTACAACCTAATCTTATAGCATAAAATTAATTCTGCTATATATCTTCATTATTTGTATTTACTAATGGATACATATTACAAAAATAATGATATTCAAAGCTCAAAAAAGCAAGCAATTACTACAATGTCTCTGATAGCACTGGGAGACTTTATCCTTTATGTACTAATTCAAACAACCTTAATTTTAATCAAATTCCACCCATGCTAACAGAACTATTAGATTCTCAGACCTCTCCAAATGTTCATGTCTCCAGAGGGCATGCCTATTTGAAATCCTAAAACCATTTGTTTGCTATTTCTTAATAAAAACTTGTGAAAAACATGTAAACCATACCCTTATCTTTTGGATTACAATGACTAAGTATAAAAACAATTCATTTAACATGTATTAACATTATTAATCTAAACTATAAATCATTGAAGTTACACATAAAAGCACCTACAAAATTTTAAAAAATGAAAGATTCACAGTGCACTGCACCCTGGAACATGTGGTTGGAACATTTAAAAAGTGAATTCAAAGACCTATCTATCTTTCAAATACATGAAATATAGTGAAGCCAACATAGCTACTCTTCTCATTTAGCTTCTTAAAATGCAGCACTCAATAGAAGGAAATTATTGCATATTCAGCATACTACTTTATCATCTGATTTCCTCAAACCATACTTAAGTATCCCAAAAGGAGAAAATCTAGTCCTGTGCTAAGCATGGCCTGTCTCAAGGTAACCTGAACAATGAGAGGGAATAAGTACAACAAACAGGTACATCTAACTTAAATATTTTCTGCATAGTTAAGTCACATCATTCACATAAAATTTAACTCATCATTTAACATGTTAACCTCATACTGTCAAGAGAGCCTAAGTTACCATAATCACATACCAACCATTCCCTTAAGTTTGTTCCACAGTGCATTAAATGAAGCAGCACAACAGCAATAACTATTGTAATTAAAGAAAATTTGTTGGTTCTTGAAAATACTCAACCACAGAGTCCATACTTCTGATAACTCTGATCTCTTATGCTTTAGTATTGAGAGCTAAAAAGTCTAAACCTATAGGCACCAGAAGGACTGATCAAGCACTCATTTAAAAAGAAAAAAAAAAAAAGACAAACACACACACACACACACAAAAACACTAAAAATTAAATGGTTTCCAGATGATAGTAAACAAATGAAAAATGATTCATCTGCCAGGCAAACTGTTTTCACTTCCTTAATGATTTAACAGAAATCTGGAATGCTTGGACCAACTATAAATATGGCTCAAGGAGACCCGAGCAAAGCAGCTGTATTTCTGAAAAGAATAGTAAGAGCTTCCAAATGCAATCATATAATGCATTAAAAAGCAAAGGTCACACAAGGATTCACAAATTAGTCACATTAAAAGATGCAGGATTGTGGATAACCTAATTCTCAAAACACTGCTAGCAACATGAATTCTCCTGCTTAGCACCGAGAATGACACTTTCATTAATAAATAGAATTTCTCCTTTAAAATCAAGTCACTTAAAATCTAAAGCCAAGTAATAATACAAAGTGAATCCTTACAATAGCCCCCCTTTTAAAAGTTCTACAGGTTAAGCAGAACCTCTAATTAAATAGGCTACCTATACAGAATAAAGATTTCTACAGTAACATTTATAAGCAGAAAATATTTTGTGGATACCACTTGTAAAACAAACAAAAAGATCAAAACCCATATGACAGACACACACGCATAGACTCAAACTGTCCCTCACCCCAACCCCCAAGAATTATCTTCAATGAGGTCAAATGCAGCCAAAATGTATCTCCTACTTAAAGCTCAGGTGATTGTCCTCAGTTATAGCTGAAAATTCTTCTCAAAATGGCTATTGCCATCCTTATTTGGATTTAAGAATCCGAAAGGAGCAAAATACATTCCTAGGAGTGAGTTATGTATGTTACTTTCATGTTCTGATCTTGCCTTAGTGAAATGCTTTATTTGTTCTTGGTAAACTGGACACCCCTTCTGCTTCTGATGCCCATCATTCAGGGGTTTCAGCATGCCAATAAAAGCATTTCACTTTGTTCTACTGAAAATTGGAACCTAATATAACATCAATTTCCATAGATCACACAAATACGCAATGTAAAACTAATATCAATTTTTCCATACATATTTACACAACTGGAATATATCAGAAATTTTCACACGAATAAAATCATTATACAATGGTAAAGGGTTGGAGGCAGGATGGTAAAAACATAATCCCAAATACTTACTGGGCCCTTGCCTCCTTGCTTTCTGCTCCAGCACTCACAGGTTTATTGAATGTATCCAGCACAACTCAAAATTACAGCATCAACTCCCCATCAACTGAATCCCTCCTCCAAGCTGCCAATTTTATCCTTATGAAGTGCTATGAGTTCATTTTGCACATGAATATTATATTAAAGATGTTGGCTCTGAATAACTCCTTTCAACAAAACTCTAAGCAAAGGGGAATTAGCCTCAGTGGTCAGAAGCAAAGAAATAAAATGCCACCAAGACAGATGGCTTGCAATCTCAACATCTGAGACATTTTAGCTTGTATGTTCATTTAATAATTGGATATGTTAAGTTTCTTTTTAAAAATTTCAATACAAGTAAACGATTATTGCAATCACTGTAATGGGTAGATGAAGCATTCCCATTACCTGGGCTAATTGATTTCTCAAACACTATTTTCTTGACCAGAAAAAATAAGACCCAGTCACACAGAAAAAAAAAAAAAAAGTCCTCCAAAAAAAAAAATTACACTTGTTTCAAACACTGAAAAGGTAAAACTGTTTAAAAGATTATAACTGCATTTACAGTGCAAACTCATGCTTCTTTCTACTCTTCTGCACAGAAAATCCTTTCAGAAACACTGCCTCCCTGCATTTCTTTAAAACACCTGAGAAAGGTAAGGCTTGAGGAGACACCCGCTCAAATACAACAGGTCTCTGATCTTGGCTTGGGACTTCTATAATACATCTGTTGCTATCAAAGGTCCAAGATTTTCATTATAGCATTATGGTCAAATTTGAAACTCAAAAAAGTTCTGGATGAAAAGGGGAACTTGCAATGTCCATTACATGCCACAGACTGTCCCTCAACATGTTCTAGTAACTGGTCTTCAGTGGAACAAGGCAGGTCATATACAGCATCTGCTTAGGAAACAAAATAAATAATCTCAGTAACTCAGTTAAGAAAACATGACCCTTTACCTTTGTTACAAAGAAATTCATGCAGAATGTTTATCTTTCCACACTCTAACCTAAGCAGAACCACCAAAATATTTCCTTTTCGTCAACTGAATTTCTAATTACTGATTATTTCTACATAAATACTCAAAATCCCTCAGCATTCCCTTGTTTTTAAAATGGACACAATTTTACCTATTATATTCATTTGCATTATGTGCAAAAATATCAAGAGCTTCTCGAAAGAGCTCAAAATGGAAGCAATGTGAAAATCAGTTAAAATGGAAAAATTGTAAAGATTACAATTACAGAAAAATAAGTTACTCAGGGGGCTAGGGCTGGGCTCAGTGGTACAGAGCTTGCCTCGCATGTGTGAGGCCCTGGGTTCAATCCTTAGGACCACATATAAAAAAATAAAATAAAAGTATTTTGTCCATCTACAACTAAAAAAAAAAAGAAGTTACTCCTCAGTCTTCAATATACTGAATGAAAAAAAATTTTTTCCAAAATCAGAGTATAACAAAACTGCAATTTATTTGGTTTTACTGTTATTTGGTTCTGTTTCGTTTTTAAATATAGCAGGGACCTAACCAGGAAATCAGGTCTGGAAAGGACATTAAGAAGCTGAGGCAAGAGGTCTAAATATCAGGATTCTCAAAACAAGAATCCTTTTATACTTCTTTCTCAAGACAACCCAAAGTTTAATATATTCATACCCAACTATTACGCCATACATAAAAATGAACTTGAAACAGATTAAAGACTTAAATGTAAAAACCCTAAACTGTGGCACTTCTGGAAGGAAAGACAGGAAAAAAAAGCTTAACTTTTGGATAGGACACCAAAAGCAAAAATAAAGGAGACTACATCAAACTAAAATGTGATGATAAATCCTACTTCACAGTTAACCTTAACTTTCCATAATAGTAGCTTTTTATCTTGCTAAAATTATAGACATTAACATAAAAATAAGATAAAGAATATTTTTGATTTCTTAACTTTCCTAAGAAAGCCTTAAATTAAGATGAATAAATCATAGCACAGCAAATTTCAAACACTTCAAAAACAGCACACTGCACTTCTAAGTGACAGTTCTATCCATGGAACCACCTTAAAAAGATCCTCAATACCTTCAAAAAAGGGAGAATATATTCGCTTGTGAACTTAGTGTTTTTATGTACATGTGACAATGAGGTTTCTGTACCTTTACAATAACTTGGCCCTTTCTATTCTCCCACTAACACATAAGCAATTTTTCACACACTCAGGCATAGCACAGAGACTTCACATTCACAAAAGAAATAGTATAAAGGACAAATAATTTCATCTTGATCATTTAAATTAATTCATTTTAGACAGTTTATAGAAAACTCCATATAGGAACTCTCTAAAGAATATATGCAATTCTTCCTGTTTTAACTATCAGTTCATTATATAACCTT